AAAAACTCTTGTGTTTTCACATACTGTACTGTATCTGCATTTATGCACTCAAACACACACAAATGTATACAAGGTCACCGTGAAGGCAGAATGGTGATAATGAGAGGAAAATTATTCAGAAGAGAAATGCTGGTTATGGGGTTGTGGGAAGATTCTTGTTTCTACCCTCCTTCATCTTCGCATTCAACCTATAAACAAAGAGTACAGCTCATGCTTTGCAACATTTTTCTCTATACAGTACTTATCTCTAAAAATTATGTTCTAGAATCTATATTCTCACCTTAGTTCTAAGCTACTAACGTGACATTTTCTGTGACTGTTAGTCATAGAGCTCTTAAAGAAAGCCTTATTGTTTCATAATTCCTAATGTAAACATTTATAATTACACCTATCTCCCTGCTACTTGGTTCAGTTTATTATACTGAGAAACTAGGCTTCTCAAAATAATTCATGAGTAATTCTGCCAGCATATACTGTAAATTGCGGGGTATAAGTCGACCTCAAGATTTTTAATTCAAAATTCAGGTTTAGTTCTATACTCGCCATATAATTCGACCCCCCCAAGGCCCAAACATAAGCGAAAGTGTGTAATAAGGCCACGCCACTTTCATCAAGACACTTACCGTAATGCCTTTCAATATTTGATATATACAGTATATATACTGTATATATATTATATAGTTCATCCAAAAGGGAAGTGGGCAACAGGATCCAAGTAGGACAGCCAGCAACCGCTAAAAATCTTCAGTAAGTTATCTTCTTAAGAACTCTGGTAAATTACCATTCAAAATCAGCACCTCCAATAAAATATAGTACAGTGGGGTATGCTATAACGAACGGATCCTACTACGAATATTCCTATAACGAACGGTTTTACCTATAAAATTGAGAATGCTATAACGAACGCAACTCCTACAACGAACGCGGATGAATACCGGACTATTTCGCCTGGCGCATGAATATTGTTGTACCGCGACCCACAACAAGAGCGTCAGGCGCCATCTTTGTCTCATTGTGTAGCCAGTGCACCACTGTTATTGTTGAAATTTCGTCTTTTGATGTGGAAATTCGCATTATTTGTATAACTATTTTGTTATACAAGTATACAATTGTAACAATGAGTCGTCCAAAGCGAGTGAGAAAGCTAATAACCCTTGAAACTAAGAAAGAAATTATAAAGAAACGTGAGAATGGAAGAAGCATTGCGAAACTTAGTGATGAATATGGGATGGCTAAATCGACTATATGTACGATTTTGAAGAATAAAGAGGAGTTAAAAACTGTGCAAGTGGCTAAGGGAATCTTTAGACTTAGCAAAGCAAGGTGTAATGTGATTGAAGAGATGGAAAATTTACTCTTAGTGTGGATAAAGGAGAAAGAAATGGCAGGTGGTAACATTAGTGAAGCTATAATTTGTGAGAAGGCTAAACAATTGTTTGAGGACCTTAAAGCCAAGACTCCCAGTGGAAGTGATAGTGATGTGCCAGTGTTTAGGGGTACCTGCATGCTGAATAACACTAAGGTAAGATAAAGTACCGTATTTTTTAAATTTTCCACAGAATTTTTTCAGTGTTAAGTGGTTGTATTTGGGGGCCTGGAACGGATTAATCCTATAACGAACGAATTCTATAACGAACGAGGTTCTGGAACCAATTACGTTCGTTATAGCATACCCCACTGTAATTGTTTACACAGCATACCAGTATAGTACCTTGATAGTACAATCTATAAACGGTATGATAGTAGAACATTATGGTACACCTGGCTTACGATCTGCCATTTGCATCAGCTGTTGTAAACAAACTACTAGTGGTGCCACCAACACCAAGCGGCCAGCTGCGAAACTATGGGTTCGTTACACTGTCGGCAGCACGGAATAGATTTAAACAGAGTCCATTTAACAGATAAGGTCAAGAAGCATCTACAACAAAACAACATTGTAACTGCAGTAATACCAGGGGGGGTTAACGTCTGTGCTTCAACCACTTGACGTAAGCCTAAATAAGCCATTTAAGGACAATATTCGTTCTGAGTGGAATAAATGGCTGGTTGAGGAAGAAAAGTCATTCACGAAGGGGGGTAATATGCATGCTCCACCACTGGATGTGTTGTGTGAATTTGTAATAAAGTCTTGGGAAGCTGTTCGTGTAGAAACTCATAAAATTGTTAAAAAAATGTGGAATTTCAAATGCAATGGATTGGGAAGAAGATGATTTTTTGTGGCGAGACAGTGACGAGGAGGAGGATGACAATAAATACCCGTATAATGAAGACGAAGTCGGAAGTCCCAGTGATTCGGACCCATATGCAGACCTCTTTATGTTAGACAATGAACAGCCAGCAGACTTTGAAGGATTTTAAAATGTGATCATACATGCTTTTATTGTCAATAAAATATAACTTTGAAGTACTGTACTGTAAAATTAATCTTGAAGTTAAAGTTTTAACTTTTTATCTTAGAGTTAAGGTTTTAATTACGGTGTCATTGTGTGTATATTCAATAAACTGCCATTATGTATGTGAACTCACAATCTATAGCGCTATCATAAAATTGCACAGATGGCACCCATATCGTAATACCGGGTAGTTGTCTGGCTGGGCTGGTGTTCTGATTGATCGTTTACTGTCCATCAGCTGTTGAAAATGGCGTGTGGTGTTGTGTTCGTTTAATTATTCTGGAATTTACTATTTTATTATAATCTCTATGTTAAATAAGTTTACCAAACATGAATTTCAGTAGGAAATATTAGCGGCAGGCCACAGGAGTTACGCTAAATGATGCACAGCGAGTGTTAGGCAGGCTGTTCCACTTGTTTACCACTATGTGGTACAGCTTCACATTTTATACTCATTGTATAAGTCGACCCCTGGTTTTGGAGAGATTTTTTCAAGCTTAAAATGTCGACTTAAACGCCGCAATTTATGGTAATATGAATTATTGGTTTGCTTATTGTTGTGATGGAAACAGGAATGGTAAGGTATGGAAGTGCTTAAGGTCAGATTAGTCTAAAGTGGTTCCTAAACATTTCCACATGACACCCCCTTATACTTTTTACCAAACCTCACACCCCCCCCATTTTTTTAATAAATTTAATCCACTTTTAATCAATTTTACACCTTGTACTCGTATTTGTATTACTTTCAAGATCAACTAATTTGTAATTATTTTCATCCATGTACTGTATCTGGTGCATATGGGGAAGATTGAAATATATCCAGAAAAAATTCATGTTACACAATTTGATTGAAAATTTACTAATAAAGAAAAGAGTTAATACATGCAGTCCCCAGGTTATGGACAAGTTCCGTTCCTAGAGACGTTCTTAAGTCGAAAATGTATAGTACTTACACAACACTGTTTAAAGTCCCACTGTACAGTACATAAATGAAAGTAAAAAATAAGTCATCAGGTAAAGGTAGTAGGTACTAGGCAGCTATCAAATAGGGAAGTATTACTGCCGGGGACGATATTGGAAGCATAATGTGTTGTCTATTGTATTGTACCTGGTGGGCTAATCCCCATAAAAATTTTTTTTTAACTTTATGGGACTTCGTTCGTATCAGCGGGTGTTCGTAAGTCGGACGTTCATAAATCAGGGACCCCCTGTACACTGTATTATAATTGTTTGTTACGTGAGCTCCTCTTCCCCATACCAACCCCAAGGTTGGTGCTTTGTATCATAATTTATTTTTGTCGAGGTTTGGAAAATTACACGACTGCATTAGTGTTAACACTCAACTCAAACCTCCCGACAGCGTTCCCCCCCTGAGCTACCTTGATCGTGTGTCATACTAAATAGATAAATGCAAAATAGTGATTGCTCTGTATTTTCCCAGTTTAGATTTGTTTTGAATAATACTGTATACCGTACTGTAGAGACGATTATGTAGATAATCATACAATGAACCCTCAAAGATTCGGACCAGGTTAATCCGGATTTCGGAAGCTTCGGACAAAATTTGGGGATTCCGGGGCTAAGAATCATTCTCAAAACAGAGCAAAGATCATCTTAGGCCCGTGTAACTTAAGATATCATCACGTGGGATACAGGTGCCTGAGGCAGGAAACTATGGCTACAGGAGGAAAATACACATAAAAGTTTTTTCTTCTAAATATACTCCTTGCTAAAGGGGGGGTGCATCTTATATGCCATAAAATATGGTATTGTATTTTTGGTGGGTATTTTTTTTATTTTTTTTTTTTCATCATTATTTATCGTTTTTACACATCAAGTACATTCACCGGAAGATATGGACAATCGGCTTTTCCGGACAGGTGGTCTCCATGTTTAGTCAGGAGCTTTGAGAGTTCACTATTACAATCTGTAAATTAATGGCATCATCACTAACCTGATACAGTAACTTAATCTGTGTATAGCTTGGTTGGTTTATGGTAATAGGCTACATCTAAAATTAAAGAGGAAATGTTTATTATTTGTGAAATTAATGCCCATTAAGTTCAAGTAATGAAAACAATTAAGAACATTTATTGCATTTAAGGATTACAGTATGTGCTATTATAATAAATATACTGTACACTGTGCCGGGTTAAGACTTTCGTAGGCCTTAGGCACCTCCAAGATATGGGGCCCCATTTGACAGCATATTCACTAATAACACAAGCTAGTACCTAATTATAAAATGTGATGTCGAAAGAATAAGATTCAGTGATGTTTGCAATGAATTGAGTAAAAGAAAATGGGTTAGATCAGCTGTTCTTGTACAGTACAGAAATAGTTTTGTTTACAAGAAGCACAGCTAGCTGGTGGACACTGATAGGATTAAGTAATAAATAAATGGAAAAAAGTACCTCGGTATCAATTTAATAATAACTTGTAGAAAAAGGGGAAGAAAAGTTCTCGTTTTATTTTTCGTAGGCCCTAGGCACTGTGCCTACTGTGCTTAATGAATAATCCGGGCCTGACTGTACATACATATATACATATACAGTATTCAGTTCACCTTGTGACCGACTAACAATCTGTCTCTTGTTGCTACAGGAAGATTCTCCACCCCGTCGCCATCAATCAACCTTAAGCACCACCAGCAGCAGTAGCAGCGGCTCATCTACAGGTGGTGTTTTAAGTGAAAATAATGGGCTGGTTGGTCTAAGAAACATTGGGAACACAGTGAGTATTTTTTATACTGTATAGCTTAAATCTGTTCTTGCAAATTAAATAAGTTTTGTCATTCTTCAAGATTTTCCTCATCTGTTAATTTTAAAACTTACCGGTAATACTTTGATGATGAATTTGTTTAAATTAAAATGATTATATATTTGGGTGATTCTATGGCCACCTTAATTAAGAAGAAGCTGTCTTATAGCTCTGTTTACATATCGCCTTTAGCTGGTTGTCAGTATGATAACGTTGCCTAGCCACGTGTTATAAAGGTCATGGACATGCTAACACTTTTAACCCTGCACAAAAAGAGAACACTGCTGTCCTTGTGAGATGACAAGATATAGGGCAGAGATTTAACTTATCAGTATGCAAAGTTGAAGTATGATTATTCTCAGACATTGTCAAGTTTTCATTCTTGTTGACATTTATTATTTCATAAGATGTGCATAAAATTACCAAGTTGCAAAGAAATTATGCAAGTTTAGATCTTACATTTTGAATAACAAAAGAAAGTATGGAAGTACTGTACAGTATGGAATGAGAACAAGGAAAATGTTCATGAGAGTTTTGCTAGTACACTTACTGTAGCTGCTGTGCAGGTACAGCATCGAGAAGTGTATGGAGTTGTATAAGCATAAGATACGTGGCACAGAGACTCCATAAATTATCTTAGATAGTGACAAATGGTTCATTTTAATATATACAGTACAACTATTGTAATATGCTGTACAGTATTGTGAATGAACAGTACAGTAATGTACTGATGAAAGTTAGTTTTGGAGAAGGAACACAAAAGTCTGTGATCAAAATTGGACAATTTCATTGCGGTACTGTAATTGTGTGTCTTCTGTGAAATTACCAATATGATGTAGCAATCTCTTCTTTGCACATGTACTGTATACCTTTGTAAATATGAGTATCTCACTTGCATTGCACATACGGTATAGTACTGTATTATACTCAGGATGCACCTAGTGAATTTTACTATCCTGCTGGATACCTGTACAGTACTGGATTTGCCAGGTAGTTAAAAAAAATCCACCCTAGATTATCCAGCTAGATAAAATAGCTGTGTTGATTTCTTTACAAATAGGCTGGGCTACACCTTCACACCTACTGTGGTCTAATATCTTGGGTAGCTTCCACTTACATGGCCATTTATCTCTCCCAATTTACAGTACAGTTGTGTATATTTTTGTCCATGAAGCATTCTAGTACACAATAAGTACAGTACAGAACTAATGTCACCTCTTCCATCAACATACTTAAATTTACTTTTGGCAGCAGCAACATGTGTTACCTATTTTACATCACTCATTCTGTCCCTTCATTGGAATACTGTACTGATTAATTTTTATTACAATTCCAGTGTTTTATGAATAGTGTGACACAGTGTCTCAGCAATACAAGGTGCCTCTTAGAATATCTGGTTAGGGATGGTTACTCCTCAGACATCAATACCACCATATCCACTATGAAGGGCGACCTTATACGCGGTGAGTTAAATGAAGTTCTTCGTGTACTGTACTTTGATGTTTTATATTGAAATTTGAAATGCTAACACAATTAATTATTTCAAGTCAGATGTTCAGTCCCTGGTCATATTTAGAGGAGGTTTTAATATTTGTCTCTTTCCACAGCCTTTGCCAACCTACTGTCAGACATGTGGAATGAGGGCGGAGACAACAGCCGGGCCCTCAATACGGGACCATTTAAATCACAGATCCAGAGATTTGCCCCAGTATTCTCAGGGTACCAGCAGCACGATGCTCAGGAGTTCCTTCGCAAGCTCCTGGAAGGTCTGCACGAAGATGTTAATCGAGTCACTGCCAAACCTAAACCAATAACTGAAGATATTGATGAGGACCTCGAGTAAGTGCCAATAAGTTTATTTTTATTAACACATGTGAAAAATTTTATTTGGGTTTTAAGAATCCAAGATTTAGAAAACAATTAATGAAACTCACTGTATTCCAGAGTTAGCTTGTCCTGTTGAGAAAGCCAGAATTATTCACAGTAATATTTATGAGCTAGCTGACTGTATTTGTTCATGGAGGCACTCCTGTACAATATTGTTCAGGATCATTTGTGTTAAATTGTTGTACAAGATATGTGGCTCTTTTTGTTGTGCCAATACTGTAAAGTATGATAATGTTATTTATGAGTTTTGAATGGATTTTGAAGGTTGCAAGATTTGTTTATTGAAAGTATAGCACAAGTACAGTACTGTGCTGTACTCATATTTCCCCATCTAAGCTGATCACTAATTTGATAATTTATATTTTTTAAAATTGACTAAATGTAGTTGTCCAAATATGTAGATTTCCTTTTGCAGGATGATAATAAATTCTCGAGTTGCTGCAGTAATATCATCATGAATACTTTTTTCTTCCAGTGACAACCAAAAGGCAATGGAATCATGGAAGCGATATCTTCGATATGATGACAGCAAGATTGTGGACATGTTCGTTGGACAGTTAAATTCATGTCTACAGTGTTCTGTCTGTGGTCATTATTCTGTAACTTTTGACCCTTTTTGGGATCTTAGTCTACCCATCCCCAGCAAGTCAGGTCAAGTTCGACTAGCCCAATGCCTCGACCTTTTCACCAAGGAAGAGGTCCTGGATGGAGATGAACGACCTGTAAGTTCTGCTATACAAGCTTAATTTTAAGTTCTAATTAAACTTGATAGTAATCATTGTCTGTTAGTGAAAATATGACAAATACTTTAGCTTTAAAATGTGCAATTAGAGCCGATATACTGTATACTGTACTGTATTTTTGTTTTTATATCTTGCATATTTAGATCTATGGCTTAATGATATTAATATTACCTTTATATCTTTTCTGTGCACTCAGTGACAATTTTTTTTTCAGACATGCTCTAAATGCAAAGAGAGGAGAAAAATGACAAAATCCTTCAGTATACAGAAGTTCCCCAAAGTCCTCGTTCTTCGTATCCTTTTGTTTATGTGATTGAGCAATGCGTGTGTTTTCAAGAATATTTTTATAATTTGTAGTTGTTTACATCTTTCATCCATGAACTAATTTCACTGAGGAAGATGTATTATAAGGCCAGTCCTGAAATCCCATGATAAACAGATTGGGGCTCAAGACAGATCCTTGATAGACCCATACTTTCACATCAGGTATTCATCACCTTTTCTTACCATTTACTCCATAGAGATTCTCATGCAAAATCCCATAACCAATCAAACAAGACACTCCTCAACACCTACCGTATTTTACGGCATATAAGACGCACCCCTCATTTTAGCAGGGAGTATTTAGGAAAAAACTTTTGTGTGCATATAGTTCCTGGCTCACCATAGCAATGCAGCCCCCACCTCTGCTGATTCCCTAGCACCTTCCCCCCCCCACCCCCTCACCCCCATGTTCTGCCTCTACCTGCTCCCCCACCGAGCTAGCCAGCTAACTTGTGTGTAAAGAAATGTATATTCTCTTTAGGACAATTATTTCTTTTACTTTTTCACAATATGAATTTAGGATGGTGTGTGCATGTAATTGAGTGAATATAAAGAAAGTTACCTTTAACTACCCAAAAATATGAGATAAAAAATAACATAAACCCAGTAGTCTGGTGGTTATAGTGATGAGTCTAGCCTGGCTACAATGCTGCCAACGATGTTAACTGACGCAAATGTAAAAAAAAAGTTGTATCAGGTATTTGTAGATTTAAAAATAATCTCATTCTTCAGCCAATCATTTGGAACTATATACAATACATGTATTCCATCAAAATTTAATTACTCTACTGTACTCAACTTGGGCACCATCATCACGCCTGCATTGTCTGATGTATTCAATATTTCTGAAACTATTCCATTGCTTCCAACAGCCTTTCCATTCTTCACCTTGCTAAGTTTCACTCTTTGCTGATATTCTTGCAACCCTTGGGCATGGTCCCTGTACTGGCTTTCCTTCTTCTAGGTTTCCCTTGTCCCATTCTAGCTCATTATTCAGCGGATAACCATAGTTCAGTATTTTCCAACCATCCTTAAATTACTCGTTATCAACATTATTTCCATAGTTACTCCCTTTGTAAATTGGGAAATACCTGTACTGTATGTATGGATAGGTACAAACAATCTTGCTTCCCAGGATACAGAAGGGGCATAGAAATTAGTGTTATTTGTGTCAGCATCCAGACACAAAAGAATTACATCCTTAATTATGAGGCTTTTGTACATAATTCTTATTTTACAAGTTGGAGGAGTAATACCACTTTTGTTCTTTGATATGGTTAAGCTGATCTCTCCTCAGACAAAGGAGGAGAAAGAAAACAGAAAGTCTGATGCATATTTATTTGCTGAGAGCATTGCTCATGACTGATGTAAACAACTGGGGTCAGGTGGTTATATGCATGACGTTTTGAGTATTCTGGTCACGTGTCAGTGACTGGTATCTAAAAGTTTTTACAACCAAAACTTACAAATGATCATAATTTCAAATGAGCACAGTAAGGTTTCACAATATTTTCACATTTCACTACAATTATCGCTGTGGAACCGATTCTTTGGAGCAATCTGTAATCATAACTTGCTTCCACTCATTCCACAGAAACCCACTGGTACTTTATCACCTCTTAATTCCTGCTCTAAGATAAATATAGGTGACTAATTTTATTTTGTTGGCTTGTTGAAGAGTCTGATAATGTTCAGTATTTCTAAATACAATACCGTACTGCAGTGAATGTATGTGTTACAACTTTAAATTTCATAAGTTCATTTTCAGTTATGATGTTCCTTAACTAAGTACACAGATTTGAAGCGCTTTTCACCTTTGGAGCGATGGCGTGGAAAATTGTCCTGCACAGTGGAATTTCCACTGGAGAGCCTTGATCTTTCCAAATATGCTTCAAACTCCAGTTCCTCTCCATACTACAACCTTATTGGTGTTGCCAACCATTCTGGAACTACCTATTCAGGCCATTATACAGCTTACTGCAAACATCCTTATTCATGCACCTGGCATGAGTACAATGACTCTAGGTAAGTTGCAGTCTGCTCCTGATATTAAATTTAGATTTTAACAAATATTTTTAATATACTGTATGGTTGGCAGTGTTGTTTCAGAAAAGGAAGAGGATGCTGGAACGAAGTTTTTGTGTTGACAAATATGCATAAAAGTTTCTGGAGAAGGCTTTTTTTTTTTTTTTTTTTTAAATTAGTAAAGTATAGCATTTGATGAAAGAGTACAGTACATAGAAAAGCATTGTAGGAAGATATAGAGTAAATGGAAAACATTGAATTGTGGTCAGAATGAGTAGGAAGATTGAAATATTTAAGAGTTTGTCAGGAAATGGGAGCTTGCTTTCCAGTGAAATTAGAAACTATTTAATAGGCACAGTACTGTAATAAGGTTACCAATATTTTATATTTTTTGGGATCGAGTTGGAAGTGAGGTGAATACAAGAGTGATGGTAACACAGGTACAGACCCTTGAAACAGGGTTTCAGAAAAACAGAGATTCTTGAAAACATGAAATTTTCTTCGTTGGTTACAAGTTTTATTTCTATACACACAGTTAAATAGCAAAATAATAACAATCCCTTTGCATACATACTTTAAATAAAGAAAACACATTTATTACAATCTACTGTATTTAGAAGTGAAGAGTATCCTTGAAACAGTTACATGGCTTGTACCAACAGCTTCTCCTGAGTCACGAGACAATCAGGGCCAGATTTAGGCATAAGCTAAAGAAGCTACAGCTTAGGGCCTCACAGTCTGAAGGGGCCTCTCAAAATTAAAGTTTTTTTTTCATTTGTTAGTTTTATTATAAATTATATTTAAGTAATGATTTAACCTAATTGACATGCAGCTAATTATGCTATACATTTATAGGCAGACTGAGAAGAAGTGTCAGCTCCACCCCCCATTTAATCGAAATTAAAGGCCCTTTGGAAGACTGGGGCTCCATAGTTCTGGGCCTAAAACATACAGTAGTTATATTTCTGAGCCCCTGGAAATTTTAACACTGACATAAAGCATTATATATACTGTACATGTCATGGGGTATCACTTTGGCTGAATTGGATGGCAACACTCTGGTTTATGGCAGTGGTGTGTTGTCGTCGTTGTGCCCACAAGACAGTAGCGATGGTGCTACGCCCTGGTGGCAGGGTCCGGCAACAGTGATGGTGCTAAGTGCCGCCTTGGTGGCCAGGTGCGGGAACACAAAACATGACAGTAGTGATATGAATTTACATCCTGTTGGTAGTTCTCTTGACTAAAACAGTAACACAAGCTACTGGAACAGTGTCACAGTGAGTGCGACTCCTACCAAGTTACCAAGATGTTTTGGGTTGCTTACTGACCTATGTACAACCTACTGCCAGCTTCCATTTTTTGTGGGGTATGTGCTTGTCATATCCACCCTTGAATAATGTGTTTAACCTTACAGAAGTGGCAGATACGACATAATCAGGCTTATATCAGCAATAGTAGCACAGTGACTGTGTTCGTGGATTAACAAGCAGGGTATATTTAAGATTAATAAAGAAGAGAATATGTAGTTAAGAGTTGTAAGTCATTTGGCTTCTTAACATCAAGCATGTTTTGGGAGAATTGGAAGTTTACTATAAAATTTGGGTTTTAGTACTGGTAAACATTTGGCTCACCACGTAATGGCAACTACCTTGGCTTGTTAGAACTCATCTCTAAGTTTGATCCATATTTTTCAAGCCACATAAAACTGTATGGAAGCAGAGGATCTGGGACTCCTTCATATTTGTCCAAAACAATATGTGATGAATTTATTCAGCTTATGGCCAAAATAGTAAGCAGAATACTTCAGTTTATGTGTAGATTCTACACTGGATCTTTCACACGTTGATCAACTAACTGTTTTAGTAAGATATGTGTCACCTGATGATGGTTTACCTATTGAATGCTTTCTGACTTTCCTGGAACTAGAAAATCACAGTGGTTAAAGTATGGCCAACATGGTGGTGGATTATCTAAGAAAAGACTGCAAAGTTAACTTCAATAAGTGCCGAGGACAGTCATATATGATAATGCAGCTAACATGGCTGATAAATATAATAGAATGCAGCAAAAAATTATTGAGAAAAACAAGTATGCTATATTTATATATTCCATGTGCTAGACATTCACTGAATCTTGTTGGCCGTGCTGCAGTTGATTGCTGCTTAGATGCAGTAAATTTTATTGCCGTTGTGCAAGAAATATA